ATACATATATAGGTATTTATATTATTTGAATTTGATGGAATAATGAAGTTTTTTGTGTATTTCTCTTAAAGCTCTAAGAACCATACAATTGTGATAAAAAATAAAGTGAGTGTTTAAATTTTAAACTAAATAATTAAAATATGTTGAAAATGAAGTGTTATTAAAATAGATCAGATTATTTCATGTTAACTATGTAATTACTTATAATGAACAGAGAGAAAAATTTATTATTCAAAAAAATTACACAATAAAAGTAAAAAATTAGGTCAGCGTTAGTATTCGAATCAAGGAATAACATTGCAGCGCATGACTGCACCTTGTCATACATATTTCTTCATCAGACAAAGGAAATCGATTTTCTAAATATTCGATATTAAATAGGTTTTATGAGTGAAATTGTAAGAAATTTCTGGTTTATCAAATGATTTTCCTGTTTTCCCTCTTTTACAGTTGCTTTAAAAAAATATATTAGTAATTAACATACAAACAAAACACAATGTTTTCTTCATTCGTCTTATGTATAATTTCGCAGCATTTAAGAGTGTGGATGACGATTTTTTTCTGTTTATCTAAATATATAAAAAGAATACGATGATACTTTTTCGTCAATATATTCACTGCCCCACTTTTAAATTTACCGCAGTATGATGTGCGCACAACGATTTGTTAAACGAAAGACAAACATTAAGCGCATACACAACACACACAGTGCTTTTATTTCCCCTTCTTCTAACGTTATATACCCGAAGTGTTTTTATTTAACTGAATTTTTTTCGTATAATATTTTCTGTGAAAATTCTTTCAGTTTTATTCGTCACTCGCAAAGTCATCGCGAAAGTTGTGATTCTGTTTTGTTCTCAACACTCACATGAAAAAAAAACTTTACTTTTTTACATTCTACATAAAGAATAAGAAGAAACTATAGTGTGTTAATTTTATTTATATTAATTTTTTATCTATTTGTTCATCTACTTTTATAATATTGAAAAGGAAAAATGAAAGTAAGAAAAATAATTAAAACATCGAAATGTGTGACAAGGAAAAGCTTTACGAACTTCGTCTTTCGAATATCATTATTTTTACTTTATTTCTCAGCTCAGTCAACGAACAATGGAAGAGTTTTCAAATTATTGCGTAATAGAATTTATATTTCATTCGTTCCATTCGACCTAATTTTTTGTGTAATTTTCATACTTCCGCTATGTTAGAAACGCCATTTTGGATTTTTTTTTCGTTCTATTACTTTAATATTTTTCGGTATTTTTAATCAGCGAATTTTGTAAAACGAGGTTTTAAAAACATGAATTTAACATTAATTAAAAATGTGTTTTAAAATGGAATTCCATTTCAAAATGCATTCGATACTAATTTGGAACGTATTTTATTACTTTTCTACGTCATTGCTTGGTAAAGTATCATTCGAATTCACAAAAGCTAGTATTTCGCGCAAAAGTTTCATCATCATGTGATTCATCGTAAGTAAAGAAGAGATAGTGAGGCAATGAATTGCTTAATTAATTTTTTTTTTGCTTTTTTAAATGGAGACTCGGCAGTAGAGAAAAAAAAATACAAATGGCTGAAAAATGTGTTGAAGTTTCATCTTTTTTCTTCGTATTATTAGATGATTGCGTAATTGTATTTTTTTGTTAGTCAAGCGCGCTACACAAACCGCGATGAAGAAGAGAAAAAAATGCTATGTGGAAACTATAAAGTGCTGTTTTATTTTTAGTTTCGTGGCCCATGGGATGCTGATGAAATATGATGACCATATTCCAAGCACACACGGGTTCACTTTATTTTACATTGAAACAAATAATGTTTGTTTTATTATCATTTTTTTAAATTAACGGCTTCAAAAGCGGGGCGATAGTGATCAATTAAAACTGATGATTACCAACGAATGTGGATCTATTGCTTGTGGGAGTGAGATTGGGACTAACTGTTTTCATGCTGCCATCTGTTGTGGCAGGAAATCAATTTTTAAGTCAGTCTTTTTCTCTCTCCTATCAGCGTAGTGGAATTCAACCTTGAAATTTAATATAAAAAAGTAGATAGAAAGTCTTGGAAATCAAATCGCCTCCACGATCATCGTCTAAAACCAGAAACAAAACTACTTGCTGTATAAAAAACATTTTTTTGTTATATTCACGTTTTGCATTTGAACAATGTAGCAAAAGCAATACTACAAAGGGAAAGTTAAAAAGATACCAGCATGACATGAATACAATCGCGCGCTTTGATAATATCCAAGGCCTGAAATTAATTTTCTAACGCTTTTTCTTTCTTACATTTTACTTCTTTTTGGTTTTTATTTCTTTCATCATAATGCTTGTGGCCTACTTTTTTTTCCTCAGCACAAAGCATCGAAAAAGCACTTTGCTTTAACCAAGGCTTTTACAGTAAATCAATGTTATATTTTTAAAGCTTTACATATCTGTGTCAGTGTACTTATATCTGTAGAGTTTTTAACCATTTGCGTCTGTTGTTCCCTACCACTTCTATCCATCATGATTCTTCATCATAAATCCATGAGATTGCTAATGTAGTTGGTAACTATGAACACTGTTACATGTGGACTGAAAATCGTATATTTATGCAGCGCGTAAAAACAAACTTTGAATACGTTTCAAAGAGAAGGAAAAAAAATGTTTAATATATTTAAATTAAAATGATAAACGATTAGAACTTGCATATCAATTTTTGCGACATTATTGCATCAATTTCCAATGTTTTGTTAAAGCTTAGTTTGATGTATGCCATCAAAAAAGTTATTTCTAATTTCTTCCATGTTTTATTTCAATTTTTCATTATAGGGTGTGCCTGTTTTAGTTTGTTTTTTGCCCAAGCTGGTCCTCATTATTCACATACAAGTTACATTTTGCGTAGGCGTACTTAATTTTTTCCCTTTGTTATATTTTCATACACGAACCTAACCCAAAACGAAACGTTTTATGTATGTGTTTGTTAAGTGATGGAAATGAATGTTGAAGAGGAAAAGAGAAGCAACGAATTGAAAAAGTGAGAAAGAAATGAATATAGACCGAACACACCCTGAAGAAAGAGGAAGAAAATCTACCCTCTATAATGCAGAGATGAACAAGAGAAAAAAAATGAATAATCTTGCGAAAACATTTCCTACAATGGACGAAATTCTCAGCAAGATATTGAAAATATAGTTTTGAATCTTGTAGGGTGTTCCTTTTAATGTTCTTCTTTTAATAAATTTTTAGAATGAAACAAGTCAATATGATATTTAGCTGTTTGTCGCCGTTTTTTTCTTTTTATAGAAGGATAGATCTGCATGCCTGATCGACTAATTAGTCAACTTCTGTTGAGTTTTTCAGAATTTTCTTTGCCACTTTTATCCTTGGCATATTATATTTCTTTCATGAGTTAATCATTAAATGCATTGGTAAGATATCTAGAGATAGAATTATAGACCAAGAAGAAATAAAATCTAATAAGTTAATAAACAGCTACTGAATAAAAGGAGCGTGATTATTAAAGTAACAGAGTTTAGGTAAGCTTTTACAACTTTTAAACTGAAACTTTATAAATCTTTAGATGCTAAAAATATTAATTTTATTTTTAAGAACAAAAATATGTAGGCAGTTTAGCAATATTCATATTTCACGTCTATATTTTTTAAATTTTTTATATTCTTCTATACAATAGAAAATACAACTGCACATATACTTATTGAGGACAAAAAAGAAGAGATACGCTTGATGAGGAGAAACAGAAACTTCACGGAATTTCACAACAGACAATGTGTTTGCTATTTACATTCATACATGTATTTTGTTTCCATGCATGAAATTTATTCTCATAACAGAAAAGTAACAAAAAGATCGTTCATATGCAATAATTTGTCCTTAATTCATTTACTTTTCAACTCAACATATGAAAATGGTTAGAAAGATATTTTTTCTCTTGTTTTGAAATTCAATAAAAATGCAAAATATAAAAAAGCCTTTAATGTTGCATGAACTCTTTAACAAAAATCCTTAAAAAAGTTTTGTTTTAGTTATTTGATAAACGATTATAATCTTCAATTTTCGTCGATTACTGTTAGCAAATTGTGGCAATAGCGAAGTTTTTGGCTAAATATGTAAGTCATGAAAAAAAAACCAGTTTCCAAATTATGATTTCTAAGCTTGTGTACATTTTTCAATGCTCACAAACACAATCTTTAACTGTATATTTTGTTACCAAAGAAATATATGATAGAGATCATCGAAAAATGTATGAAAACAAAGCTATCTAGGCTAAAAATCCTTTTAACATAAATAAAGAAAAAACAAGTCAGTCCTTGTTTGCGAAATTGGCTTCTCTGTGAGTTTAACATTAATCCCCGATCTATCATCCTCACTCAAATTTCTAATAGATTTACTATTTATTTATTCTTCTTTTTTGTCTACGGTTCATTATGTATTTAATTTTTCGTGTTTTTATTGTGTTCTATTTGATATTGTACACAGTTCACAAAACTTTAGAATAGTTTTCATAAAACTCGGCCAAATTTAATCAAATTAAAAGCACTATACATATATCGTTACATGGCTGATGTCATAAAGTTAATACAGTCAACTCTGGATACAGCGCGCTACCACTATAACGATATTTCTCGATTGTAAGATATCTTTTGTCTCCCTTCAGTCGTTATTGTACCGTTTTTTCTTTTAAGAGTTTACTTTACTTTCATTGAAGATTTAGGGTAAATGGCAAAATGGAAGGCATCTCAGAATCGTGTCCAAACCCAAACGTAGTTACCAAAATAGTTTTGTTTCTTTCAATTGGTTACCTAGGCCAGCAAGGTTGAAAAAATTATGTTCGAAATCAGTGCCTCAAATTTCTCAAGCACATGAACAGAACTTACACTGAAGCAGCATAGCACTCATCAGTAACTCATTTCTTTGACCAGTAAAGATTCATACGGAGATGGGATTATACATGATGAAATGAAAATAAGCAAATTGAGTTTAAATAGTGTATGCCTTGCTACCTGCGCAACAAGATCATGTTTTGACTCGAGCTTTTTTCAAATTCCATCTCCGTTAATAAAACACTGTTATTGATGGACAAAACTTCAAACATTTCTTTTTTCAAGCAAGTCGGCAGGTCAAGTCAAACCAAATCAAGTCAAGGCACTGCTGGTGAATCGATTTGAATGGCCGTTTTTGATTTGTATGGACTTTAGAAAATTTGACTTGTTTTGAAGACTCGAAGATTTTTATTTGCCCGATTCGAGTATTAAAAGCAGCACCGTGATCTTCTTTTGTTCCTAGAACATGTCCTTTTATCTGTTCTGGAACAAAAGCCTAATTTAAAGGTATTTGGGGAATGTCGCTTTAATAATTTATTTTATTAAAATACCAAGAAACAATAAATGTTACTACGTTACTCAAATATTTGACGATTTTTATTCGAGATCCGCAACATTCATCATCAATTGTTAAACTTAAAAGATTTTTGTTCACTGGTCTTATGGTCACCAGACATTTTAATAAAGAAAACTATTTTAGGATTATTTATGTATTTGCTTTTTCGTTTCACATCAATATTATCGTTGAATTTATTAATTTTTATCAATTGCGAGACATACATACATGAGTATGAAATAAAACATGTTTATTTATTTTAAAATCTATCCTAACATTTTATTATTATTTCATTTCAGTAATTTCTTCTTGCATTCCATTTTTTGTTGCTGTTATTTATGCATATTTCTTATCCAATAAATTTCAAAAATAACTACAAATAGAAAATTTACTTTTCAGGCATGTTTTTGATATAAACATTGATGGACTTTCAGGTTTGGTATGATAGATAAATTTACATCCATCACCAATGAAAGAAAAAAGTTTTTTGGGAATTTAATTCAAGAAAAAAAATAGTTGGAAAAAGGAAATATGAAAATTGAAAAAGAAGAAAGAATTTGTAGCTTAAAACATCGTTCCATCAAATAATATTCTGTGAGAGTTTTACATCATGTCTCACTTGCATTCTTGCATTTCGGATTCGTTCGTTGGTAGTTGGGATGCTTGAGAGTTTTGTTGCGTCTTCACCATGCACGATCGTGCGACCGACTCAAATAATCTATTTGTTAATTGAAATAAAATTTAAGTACAAATTTAATAGTTTTAAATAAAATTTACTTTTCAATTTCTGGAGCACAATGAACAAAGTCGTGATCCCAAAACTTGTATGACGGATTTTTGATCAGCTCGATAAATGTTATAAGTAAACCCCATGGATGTGGACGATTTACAATCAAACGTTCAAGCAGTACACGAGTGATTTGTTCCTAAAATGTGAAACGATCAAAAACACAAATTAAACTTTATTTTATTTTTTTGTCTCACTTGAATAGCTTCGGTATTTGCTTCGTCAAACAGATAAAGTAAAGCACAACTGAAGTAATGCGTGTGAATGTTTGGATATCGCAATTGGTTGGCAATTGCGTTCAAAAATAAGTAACGCCCTTCATTGTCTAAATCGACAGCTAAATTTTGAAGAATATCCATGTGAGCATTATGAATGATGTTGGTCATTGTCGGATTTTGATTTTTAGCACTGAAAATAATTTTCTTGCATTAATTAAAATGAAATTCAAAATAAAATTAACAACTTTTACCGTATTTGATTGATTGCTTGTGTGCCAACATACAACACCAAAGCATTCATCAATGGAACGTTGTAACGAGATCCAGGCTCATTTGAAATTTGTAAATGTCCACGAATTTCTGATAAAAATGTGACAGGTGATCGTTGTTTGAGATACAAATCAAGATCCTTCTTGAAGTTCGGTGGTTGAATAGCTGCTGCATAATTGCTGTGAATTCTTGGTTGTGTGTTAATATCACTGAGCATGTCAACCTGTGGAATTCAAATTCAAGTTAATTGACTGAATATTTTCAAAAGAAAATTTTTACCTTTAAATTTGGTGTGAATGGATCTGGCAATCTCATGTTACGCGGATAAGCTGACAATATTAAATTTCTCATTTGAATGCAATTGGGTGGAATGACATCACAGAATCCAAAATGATAATCACAGAGAAATTCTGGAAAGTCATGTAAAAGCACTAACAAAACACGTAACGTTCCCTTGTATAAAAGCGTCACTGATTTTGCAAGTTCAGCATTTCTTAAGAAAGGCGCAAGATATTTGAACAAATCCACTAAAAGTTGAGAATACATCGACCATCCCTTAGCTTGTGGGGCTGTTGCAAGAATTCTTTGAAGGAAAACACGATGAGAAATGAGCTCCAACCACGAATAACAAAATCCAGGTGCAATTGATGGACGTAGAATATGATAAGCATGACAAAAAGCAGTTAACACATTTGTCATGATATTCTCTAACACTGGATCAGATGAGCTGAGTTCAAGGAAAAGCATGATGAAAATTCGATGATACGCAAGCTGCTGGAAGTTCTGCTTATGAACTTCTTGATCCTTCAACAATATTCCTATGACAATTCCAAGAATCTAGGAAATTAAAGAATGAAAATCAATTAATAAGAAGAAATTCCAGTAAATATGAAACTTACTTTATTAAGGAGATTAAGTTTCGTTGTTGAATTTGATGTTTCACCAGAATGTTTAACTAATAAAGCAATTAATCGAACATATGGATCAATATATTTGAAGATTTTTGTGTTGTTAATTGTTGGATCATTTCTATAAGTGACATCGATGCACATTTGCGTTGCATGTCTAAAGAAGCGTGTAAGTGCTTCATCACCTTTCAAGATTCCATAAATGTTCATTTTATTGACGAAGTTCGAAAATGATTTGATTGGATCGCGAGTCGCATGTGTGTGAAAAATTGTTATCCAATCTTTCAATAAATATTCAGAACGTTCGAGAAAACCTGGTGGTTCATCGATTTCACCAGAGCTTCGAGCTTGAAGCATTCCAGAGTGAATATATGATGTCGGTCCATGAATAGCTCGATCAGTTAAATGAATACTTTGATCTTGTTGATTTCTAAGTACTTCAAGAAGATTAATGAGTGCTTCTGGTCCATTGTTATGTTGTGCGAGTCGTTCAAGAATTGTTATTGTGTTATGAAAATCTCCATCTTGAACCATCACTGATGAACGATCATCAAGAAAGTAAACTTGTAAAAGTTTCGTAGCAAAACTTGCTGCTGCAAAGTTTCCATTTTCGATGAGAGTTGCAAGACAAGCGTCGTATTGTGGTAGTGAGACACAACCTGCTGTTATTAAGACATCTGAAGCCTCCACATTATAACGATAAGTTTCAGGACATTCAATCATGAATCGTGAAACGCTTTTATTTGTCCAAGCTACTCCAAATGCACGATTATCTTGAAGAATCTTTAAAACTCGTAAGTGCAGATCACGATAAAGTTTAATTTGTTCATTATGTTCTGGAATTGCAATAAGTCCTTCCATTAAACCTTCAACTGTTTTCTTCAATAAATTCTGTTGAGCTGAATTGTCTCTTGTTCGTCTAACCAACATTACACATTCTAGCAATGAGTGCATGCTTTGAGTTTGAAGGTGAAGAAGTTGAAATCCATTACACATGTTTATATACGCTTCAATCTTTTGTGTTAAATCATCATACAATAAACCAAAGTCATCTTGTCCAAAGGAATTAAATTGTGATCCTGAAAGTTGAATTCCATTCGAAGCAACAGATGACGCAACTGAAGCAACACCAGAACCAGCTGAAAGTGGAATTTGCGGTTCGACACTCTTCGAAAATAGTTCACGATCGGTGAGTCGCTGGAATCCGGGGACGTTTCGCCCAAATTCTTCATAAACTGACAATTGATTTGACGACACTGATCCGACTTTTAATCGAATTTGCATTGGAATTCTTTCAGCTTGATAAGCCAACACTGTGTGATCACAAAATGTTCTTCCTTCCTGTCTTGCCATCTTTCTTACTTCAAATTCAGAGATAAGCGATTTGTCAATTTCGGGAATTGCTTTTTCAATCGCCCACTTTTGTATGAAAGCACAAACGAGTTCAACATTGTCATTAGCAATCATGCTTGCGGCCATATCGATTTGATCTTTTTGTTGTGGAGCAAGAATTGTCATGAAAGCTGTTTTAACATTCGATTGTATGGCTGAAATTAATTGATCTTTACATGTTATCATTGCCATACCAGCAGCAAGATTACGTGCCATATAATGTGCTGCTTGTCGCATTGTCGATTCATCAGAGTCAAGAGCGAAATCTTTTCGAATGATTGATTCAGTTGTTTTGATGGAAATCTTCACACTTCGATCAACGACCGGTCCAACCCAATCTTGAATTGTTTTCTCAAGTGCACCACGAACAATTGTCTTAAGTTGTGGATGAAGTAACACCAACGTAGGTGATAAGACCATAAGATTTGTTATACTCACATTGAAGTTTTGAATACCAATTTCATTCAATGTATAACGCGGTTCACTCGGTCCGGTTGTGAATGCTTCACTTTGTGAATTTGACGGCGATTCTGATTGAAGTGAAGGTACAATTGATGTACTTGCAACTTCATCAGCTGCTGTAAGTGATAATTGTTGGTGTCCTGTGTCTTTTGTCTTACTTGGTGGCGACAATTGATGGATAATCTTTTGTGATCTTTCCGGATCTTTTAAGTAGTAAGCAGGTTTCAAATCACCAACTTCCAAGTTCAACGCTTTGCACAAAACTTCAATCTCAAATTTCAAATTTAATTTAAGTTCAGGTTCTTGATGTAATTCAGCTAAAACATTCATTAATGCCATTGTCCATGGATTTGGTGGTTTAAAAACTTTACTTTTTGCTGTTGATTCAATGACTTTAGCAACAAAAGGAACGACATAAAGAAGTTCTTGCTGTCCTTTGTTATAAGCTTCCAAAACCAAAGATTTCAAATCGATATCGTTATGTAAAATTGGACGATTTCTTCCAAGCGTTAACATTCCAAGCCAGTGCCCAAGATTCTTCAACAAACTACGATCTGAAAAGTTTGCAATGCTTTTGTCACTTCTCAACAAGACTTTGATGTTTCGAAAAGTTTCATTTGTTGTTAATATCAATAAATCGTGCAGCTTTAATGCGTCCAAGAAGTTCGAATAAAGCGTGTGAAAATTTATTTCAATACTTGCACGTTTCAATACAAGATATTGCGACATCCATGGAAAATATTCCTTCAGTAGAATTTCTTTAATTTCTTCACATTTCGATGTCAAATTTAATTGACTGAGATTGTTGAAGATGAAAGCGGTTTTGTCCTGAACCCCATCAGGTGGCATTGTAATTTTTTCACTTTCAGTTTCATTCGCAACAAGAAGCGTATCAATGTTTGTTGCATTTGCAATCGATTTGATAGATTTTGTTGACAACACAACATTACTTGGCGTTGTTGATGTTGATGACGATGCAGCTGCTTTTGCTTGCGTTATAATATTTCCTGTCACTGAATTGCTTCTATAAAGTGACTGTGTGGATGTCAATGGTAAATGTGATAATGCATTTGGCAAGAGTTGTCCACTTGGGTCAGTGATAGTCGATAGTGTAGCACTATCTGGTGGAACTTCTGAGTTGCATCCATATTCAACATATTTAATTAAATGAGGTGGAAATTGATTAAAATGCGGAATTGTTCGAATATGTTCACAATATTTGTGATATTGACAAAGCTTATTCTTGAAACGATCCAACGCTGTCACACCGAAATAATACATTTTTGATCCTTCCGATTTTCTCAATGCATCAAGAACACATTTCAGTGCCAATCCTAACGTCACATAAGTGTCCACTAAATTCTTCTCGATCATTCCACCAAACAATTGCGCAGTGATTTGCAACTCTTTATCAGGATATTGTGGAAAGAATTTATATTCTTCAAGTAAATTACGCAACATGCAATGATGAATGTCGCGTTCACGTTTAACTGTCGACTCTTGAAATCTCTTCAACATGTCAAGAACTTCATCAATTGATAATGTTGGATGTGGTGGATGATTGTAAATACGTTGGAAGTAGCCGTTTGCTTCTTCTTCGATTTCATTCGATATTGTTGGTTGATCAGGAAATAATGATTGCTGTAATTGTTGTGGTGTTGGATTTTGTTGACTTGGCAGTGGATTCATAAGATTAAGTTTATCACCAGTCGGTGTTGCACCAATTCGTCCCATAAGGTTCTGTGGTCCCGATATTCCCATCGGAAAAGGACTATTCGAAGCTCCACCACTTCCACTGCTAAGTGTTGACATTAAACGTGATGGAGAAGCAGGAGTTGCCGTTGACAAGTTTCCCAACATATTTCCAAAATTAAAAGCATTTGTTGAAGGTGCATTAAGATTCAAAGAATTCATTCCTGAATTGACGTCTGAAAGATTCATTCCAGGATTAAAAACTTGATTACTGTTATTAAAAGAAGCTTCCATGCCCAAATGAGATGATCCACGTAACATTGGAGTTTGAAATTGTCGTCGTTTACTTATCAACACGTTACAGCTGTTGACAACTTGCATTGCTTGATCAGCGATTTCAAATGAATGAACATTTGGTATGAAGGCATTAAGACACTGAACGATTGTGTTGATAGTTTCCGGTTGCAAGTGACCTGACTTTATTATTTGATCGTCAGGCTTTCCCAAGATTTGTGGGCATCTTCTTTGAAGGAACTTTATAAGAGCAGCTGCAAACTGATCACCATGTTCACGCAACTTATCTGACAGCCATTTCTCTAATTTCAAATACTCACGACGTGATGCTAAACAAGCGAGATCGACTACAAACATAAATGTTTTTGAATTAAGAAGATTTGAAAGCGCTTTTAGATCTTGAGCAACATCTAAGATTCTCGATAATCTTGATTGATCGTTGTCGCCTCTCAAATACCAGTCACTCATGCACATCATGATAATATTCTTGAGAGCACCTCCAAAGTTTGTTGAATTCCAAGCATGATGAAGAATCGGCCCCGAATTTGGATGATTGCTTAAAAAAATTGGAATAAGACTTGTAAACAACTCTTGTCGTAACATCATCATTGGTCCATTTGTTTGAAGCAAAGCCATGAAAAGAATGTCCGGACAATGAACAAGAGGAAACTTGAGAATCTCCAAAACTTGATTGTAACATCCATTCTCAGAGATATAAAGAAGAACTTCAACCAAATGAATTGACTTCCATGCAGCAATTTCTTTGTTGTCTTGTTCTGGCGGTGTTTTAAGCATTTCAATCGGAACTGAGCTGTAGATGTGATCAGCAAAAGAGTAAATGTCAGGGTTCTTTAGAATCGATGTAATAAGCGAAAGTTGCCCTTCAACATTTGACCAATGCCGATAAAGACATTCGGCAGGAAAGTTTTGTCCTATTCCGCTTGATTGCATTCCAAGTCTGATTGTTGTTATTAGTAAATTGAGGCCATGGCGATCTTTCATGATGAACTCCTGATGATCGAGTCCCAAACAAACCTCTTTCCAGTTTAAATTTGGGACAGTCTCTTTCAGTGCTTGAACAAACACGTCAGGCTTCCATGATGAATTGTCAATTGTTGTGAGTTTCTCTTTCGGTTGAGATGACACGCTGCCACCAGTTGATGATGATAAATCTGAATTAGGTTGTGATGAATTTGGCCAGAATGCGTTTGGAGTTGGTAAATTTATGCTGCTGTCTGATAAATTTGTATGTGTTTGACACATTAATGAAATGATTTTGGAAACTTCTTGAGCAGTGACGTCTCTTCCACCACCTTTCATTAAATGTGATTTGCATTCATCGACAGATGATGTAAACGAATAGCCAATTTCCATTATGATTTTTGACCACGACGTGTCCATAATGTTCGATTTGAAGATATTTTGTGAGTTCGACAATAATGATTCAGTAGAAATTTCACTTTCTTCAAGATATAAAAGTGGCGTTAAAATTAAAGGAACGTGATCGCGAGGAAAATCACGACAAAGTTTTCTAGTGAATTTGGTGTAAATAGAGTCCGAAAGATTAAAGTTTGTATGATTTCCGTATGAGAGAAGTGAGAGCAGAAGTTGAAGAAGCTCAGGAGATATATCAGTAAGTGTTCCTTCCTGCGATGATCTCAAAGAATCTGGAAATTCAATCATAATTCATGAGGCAAAGTGAAACTTTTTAAATTTTACTATCAACATTACCTAAATCAGTATAAGATTGAATAAATTGAGGTAGGCTGATTTTAAGATGTTGCTCAGCTAATTTCGCAAGTTCGGGATTTAAAGAGTTCCTTAGAGCAAGGGCCAAAGAAGTTTCTTGTATTTGAGAGCAATTAACAGCTTTTGAAATTTGAAGGATGAGGTTTTGAGTTAGGCGAAGTGTCTAAAGAAGATTTAATTATAGAAAAATTAATATTCTTATATACTTGTCAAATTTCTACTCACCTTCTGCCGAGGAAGAAGATTTTCAAGAGCAAAACACAAGCTCGATATGAAAGATGATTTGTTTAATAAGGACGATAATTCGCTCGATAGAAGCTTTGCTTGAAGTGAATTTTTTGCTGAATGAGCGTCGGTGAAATCGATTGATGAAAATAAACAACGCAGAAGATGCCTTTCTGCTTCAAGACCAAATTGTTTGCAAAGCTAATAAATAGAATAATTGTAAAGTTATAGAATATTTGTAGGATTGCAAAAGCCACATTTAATGTTTTAAAATTCAAAAAATTATACAATGAAAGAGATAGAACATCGGAGTGAGGGAGAAGAAATATTTCGCCATATTGCATCTTGGAACAGAACTAAAGAAAATATTTCATAATTTAGCCTATATTTACCTCACTTATTTCGCGAGAGCTTTGCGGAAAATTCCTTTTCGATAAGTTATCAACCAAAGTATGTATCTGAATCAGACAAATGTTTAAAGCATCACTTAGTTTTTGCATATTCGCAATTCCATTTATTTATTTCTTCGCAATGTTTTTTCAAAAGCAAGTTTAGGCCCCTCATTGGAGCTATTTTATATATTTATCACTGCCAGAAAGTCTACACGTTATAGTACAATGAATCTCAAGAAAAATTTTCACGAATTTGCTTTTTCTATGTAGCTTAAGAAATCTTTTTAGTCACCACTTTTATCACCACATTCACTTTCGAAAGCAAAATTTGTTCAGGCATCAGTATACCCCTTGATTTGTTAACGAAATGACATAGTTTCAAACCCCTTTTACTGTCATTTAATGTATCTCGAAAGGAAAGTCTTTGAAAAGATTAACAAAAATTTTAAAGACATTTGTTATTTCTAGTTTTTAGGAAAGGAATTAAAAAAAAAGGATTGAAATGGATTTAAGATCTTTAGATAAGGAAGCTGAAGCGGCTGCATTGCAGGAAATCAAGAATATGTTTCAAAGAAGTGGTCAACTTGAGAAAATTGATACTTTTCGTCATAGAATTCAAAGGAAAAAAATGACTGACGAAACATTATTAAAATCCGCCTTAAATCAACAATTAAATTCTGTTGGTTCTGGTTTGGAGCAACTCAAATTAAACTTATCAGATGCCAAGGAGGTTGAAGAGCGTATTAAAAATATTCAACAACTTATTGAAAATGTACCAAATTTAGCTGATCGCTTGGAACCAGTGAAAGAAGAAAATACTAAATATTCGCAATATGTTACTGCTATGGAAAATCTAAAACACATTTTTACTGTTCAAGCAAGTGTTGAAAAAGCTTTGGATTGGATAAAAGAAGATAAACTTTTGTTAGCACATCAATGCCTTTCTGATTTAGAGAATTCACGCGATGATCTTCTATTCGAATTGCATAAGTTGACAAAACAGAACACTCATGATAAAATCACATTGAAATGTTATTTTGATAAAGTGGAAACTGTCTCAACAATGCTTCAAGATAAGTTACGTTTTATTTTTAAAAGAACACTTAATACTGCTAGAAAAGAACCAACAGTTATTGTTACTGCTTTGAGAATTGTTGAACGCGAAGAAAAAGCTGATCAATTTGCTTTGCAGCAGCAGAAATTAACTGGATTTCTCCCCCCAGGACGTCCAAAAGAATGGAGATCAATGCTCTTCCATACTTTAAATGAATCAGTTGAAGAGCGAATTGTTGGATCAATTATTGAGAACAGAAACGAAAAATTATGGCTTGTTAAAGATCTTGAATTGATGAGGCAATTGATTCTTGACGACTTAAAAGTTGTGAAGTCAGTTTGTCTTCCATGCTTTCCGCCAGGATATAATATTCTTAAGGAATATGTAAAAATGTATCATCGAGCTGTTTCCGACTTTGTAAGTATCTAAATCGTTTTTAAAACAAATATTTATTAAGCAAATTTTGTTTCCAATTTTCAGCTAGAACAGCTTGTTCGACGAGGGATCGAAGGCAATGAATATGTTACGTTGTTATCTTGGATCATCAATACATATCCTGGAAAGGAACTGATGCAGAATCCTGAACTTCGTATAGATTTATCAGAAATTGAAAATATTCAACCATTAATGAAACCGCAAATTATAAAAACACTTGAAACAGCTTATCTTAAAACTATGGAGAAAAATTATACAGATTGGATGGATAAAACAGTGGAAACGGAGAAAAATGACTGGCAAGCTGGAATGCCTGACCAAGACGATCAATTCTTTCATACTGCAAGTCCTGTTATCATTTTTCAAATGATTGACCAACATTTACAAGTGACAAACACTATCAAGCAAGATTTAACGTTCAATGCTCTAATATTAAGCATTCAACAAGTTACAGTTTATGGTCAAAAGTATCGTTTAGCGATCATCGATTTCAAAGAAAAGCATTTCAAGGATCGAAGTCAAGTTCCTTTCTTTACACATCACATCATTACAATTGTAAATAATTGTCAACAAATCATCGATCTTGCTCAACAAATAAAACAACTTTATTGGCCGAAAACTAGAACTGATCATTATGAAGATTTTGAGAAACTGCTTCAAACATTCCAAGCGCTACGTGATGAAACGGCGTTTTATTTATTGGAAGAAGCATTTCTTGATCTCGATGGACACTTCAATGAATTGTTTAGCGCTAAATGGATTAGTTCAACAATCGCTATTGATACAATTTGTGTTACATTACAAGATTACTTTCAAGACTACAATCATCTTCGTGTTATCAATTTTGAATTTGTCATAAAAGAAGCACAAAAAATGGTTGCTAAACGATACATCAGAGCACTTCTCTCAAAACGCATCAGCAAGCCTCGAAATGAATGTGAAATTATTGTGAAGAAAGTTGTAAACGAAGTACGACAAATCAAAAGTTTCTTTGAGAAGATTGCACCAAATTTTTTGAAGAATGATTCACCATTCGACGCAATTATTGTGTTATCACAATTGTTATGTTGCGATACTGAAATGATTATCTTAGACCTTCATACATTGCTTACCAATTATCCATCGATCACAGAGGATCATTTAATTCGACTTTTTTATATACGAAATGAAATCAAATCCAATGAGATTCGAGAGAAAATTCAAGATGCCTTCAGCAGCAGAAAGGTGAATGTCAGCACACATGACAAACTCAGTAGTTCAATCTTCAAGGAAATTACATTTAATGAAACTAAATTGTGGTCAGTTTAAATTTTTATTTAAGCTCATTTAAAGTTCCCACTTGGAAAAATCATGATTGATATAAAAATTCATAACTTTGCATTCCTTAGTAAGAAAAAAAGAACTTAAACATAAGAATTTGAAATTCAACTAAAAATGTATGTTTATTAAAGAAGAAAATAATAATAAAATGTTATTTAATCACCCACACATGAATAGCAGTAACGTTTAATGTAGTCTCGTATAGTTGCACGTATATTTGATGAGCAAATGTCAACAGCGCTGTTAAGTTTTCTCATTGGTTCCAAATCAATTTTGTTGTCGTTAAATTTACTTAAAATATTCTTGTCGGTAAGAATTGAAATAACATCAAGAAAGAAAAAACCAGCTTCAACAAACTCTAAGCTGTATTGACCGTAAAGTTCTTCCTTCACATTCATCAGTTCAATTGATAATTCAAGCGGAATACTGGCATTATGAGATTTTATGGCATCACGATTTGTGATCAGTGTATGAAGCATCATTTCGGTCATATGAAAGCGAATTTCATCCAACGTTCCAAGTCCCTTTACAGCTCCCACATAATTTCCAAACACCTGATCCATTGTTATGGGTCGGTTTTCTTCAGATTGATGTGCAAGAAGGGTGAAGAAAGCTTTCATTGCTTCGTTTTCATGGACTTTATTACAATCATAACATTTGAGTAAATAATCATCACGATCGTCTTCGTTATCGTCATAAGGATCATCGCCAGTAATTTTCTTATCTGGATAGAAAAGTCGCTGATTGCAGAATCGACAAAGGACAGAATTGTTGAACCGAAATTCATCGTTTTTATCTAAGCATTTGGCGCATTTGCAATGAAAGTTATATTGCAATCTCAAAGTATCCTGACGTTCTCGATATGACATCAACTTGCAATTTGGTCCATAACAGTTGAAAATTTCACCGT